GAAGTTCATGATCTCTGTCCTTGCCATCAGAGATAAAAATAGCGTCTTGCTTTAATTTGTATTTGTAACCTTTGTGAAGTAGAGCATCTCTTTATGCTTTTTTTTTTTTACCATTTCTATTACACCTTTTATCCCATTTTTTCTAATCTGTTTTTTTGTTTCCCCTTCTTGTCGTTTTGTCATTGTCCTTTTGAGTTTTAAGAGATCTTTGTATTTTAAGGAAATGATCTTTTATCTTTTATATAGACCGCGAATGTTTCCTAATTTGTCTTTTTGGCTTTGAATATATATGTATAAATATCCATCCATCCAGACATTTTAATTTTCACACAGTCGAATTTGCCAATCTTTTCTCCACAGTTTCTTTGCTCTATTTCATGCTTAGAAAGGCCTCCTCCAGCTCAAGATTATAACAAAATCTATCTTTCTTCTAGTATTGTATGATTCATTTGCATGTAAGCCTTTATTCTATCTGGGATTAATTTTGGTATGAGAAGGTAGGGGGTACAGCTTTATTTTTTTCTCCCAAAAGACAGATGTCCCAAATGTTATTTATTGAGCAATCCACATTTCCCCCACTGATTTGAAAAGTGACTTTTATCACATGCCAAATTCCCATATGTATTTGGGTCTATTTCTGACTTTCTTGTCTGTTTTTCATCTGTCTGTATATTCCTGCGTTAGTACCACACATCTTATTGTACCTTTATAATATATTTAAAAAACTGCTAGAATTAGTTCACTCTCAGTACTTTTACTTTCCAGAGCTTTCCAGGCAATTCTCATTTTAATTAAAAAAAACAACAACAATGACTTTATTGAGACGTAATTCACGCGGTGTACAATTCACCTTTTAACGTGTATGATTCGATAGATTTAATATCACTGCAGCTATCACCAGTCAATTTTAGGACATTTTCATCACTTCAAAAATAAACCTGTCCCTTTAGCTGCGACACCCTTTCCACCCAGTCACCCAGCCCCTGACAACCACTCATCCACTCTCGTCTCTATAGACTTGCCTCTTCTGGACATTTCATAATAAATGGAATCAGAAAACATGTGGCCTTTCGTGACTGGTTTATTTTCCTTAACAAGGTGTTCCCAGGGTTCACCCAGGTCGTGGCATGCATCAGTACTTCATTCCTTTTTACGGCTGGAAAAAGTTCCAGTGTATAGATGTATCGCATTTTGTTTATTCATCCGTTGGCGGACATTTGGGTGGTTCCACCTGGCAGCTGCTGTGAATAACGCCGCTGTGGACATTCACGGGCGAGTGTTTTTTGAGCACCTGTTGTCCGTCCTTTTGGGTCTTGACCTAGGAGTGGGATCGCTCATCCGATGATTCCGTTAGACTCACTGAGAACTGTCCAAACCGCGTCCCATAGCAGCTGCGTCATTTCTACCAGCAGTGCATTGGGGCTCCACGTTCTCTGCATTCAGGCCAAGACTTATTTTCCATTGTTTTTTGTTTTGTTTTGTTTTGTTTTTCGTTTCTAGCCAGACTAGTGGGTGTGAAGTGATATCTCAATGTGGTTTTATTTGTATTTTCCTGGTGACTAATGATGTTGGGCGCCTTTTTTTTTTTTTGAGTGTGTCTGTGTGCTTATTGGCCATTTGTCTGTCTTTGGAGAAATGTCTATTCAAGTTTTTTTGGCTCATTTAAAAATCGAGTTCCTTCCTCCCGGACATGGAGCTTCTGCCACCGTGGTAGCATCCTGTGGGGTGGTTGGCATTTGTCTCTCTCGTGTCTGGAGCTCCAGCGTGGGATCCGGATCTAGGAATTAAAGATACGATTTTGCCATGTGGTTGGTTTTCTTCCTGTTTGCTTCTTGCTTTGATTATTTCTGCGACTACCTCACGGCTTAACTCATTTAGAGTTTCCCCAGCTTATCTGAAAGAAGAAGAGAAGAATGAGCAAAGGCAAAAGCCCGCGAGAAGGCAGGAGGCACAGAGCGAAGAGGCCAGCAGATGGAGGCTGTTTCAAACCTCACCTGGAAATGCAACAGGAAACCTGGAAACGTGCTTTCAGCAGGTGACAGGTGAAACCCGGAAGTCAAGCAATGGTCATACACGGGGGGCGATGAAGATTCGGGGCTTGAAAACGAGAGTCGGACATCGTGTGAAACCTCAGGCAGAGAGGCCGCCAAGAGACGGAACTCACCCCAGCCTTGAACCACAGTGTCACCACCTCGAACAGCCCTCTCAGGGGCTTCCCGGTTTACCTGAAGAACCTCCCGTAACAGCGGAAGAAGGAGCTCTCCGATGTCCAGGTGGAGACGTCCTAGGGGACGGGTTTTTAAGTCATGCCGTCCACAGGTCTTATGGGACTGCATGACGAAAACTGGGTACCACGCATCCTCTGTACGCACAGCCTATGTCCTTCCCCAGCAGGTGTCTGGAAAAAGGCATCCTACCTGTTCTACGTAAAACCAGTTACGCCGTGACCTTACAGGACAATGAAGGATTCGTGTTATAGGCATGCCGTATCTCGACTGAGCTCAAGGCAGATGACACTTTAATATGCCACCCTTGGAACAGAAGGACACAAAGACGTAGAAAAGGATTGCTCTCTACCAAAAATAATTTTTGGAATGTGCCATGTTATAAAGTACCAAGCGAGAACGAGGTAAAAATGTATACTGTAAGGCACTCGATAATTTATATTTTTCCTCACTGACATCACTTGTCACTATGTTGGAAAACAAAGTCACGTGACCTTGGTTCCCACCTCTTCAATCCATTTTACCACAATGAACATTTCACAATTCAACCAAACTCTTCAAAGTCTTTTAAGTAGGAATGTTTATTTCGCTTTGCTGCTGGAAATGAACAACTTTAAAAGAGCTTCAAAACTCTTTAAAGCTTTCAAGTTCTTTTCGATAGACAGGGATTAATGTTTGCTTAGCTAATAGTTGAGATTTATCTAATTCGCCTTGCATTAAATTGTAACAATTACAAAGTTCCAAGCGGGCCGGTATGGTAAAAAATAAAACAATGAAAACATTTGAAAAGTTCAGTTATTCGTCTTTTTGTTATTGAATTGTAAGAGTTCCTTATTTTCCTGACCTTTCGTGCATCTGCATGTTTTTCCCAGTCGAACTCCCTTGAGAATGGCTAGCAATTTTTATGTAGCTTAAAAGCAAAAGACAAAACAGAAACAAATGTTCGTCCTGGATCCAGTTCATCAGATTCTGCAGATGAAATTCTCCACGAAGCATCTCCCCTTCTAATGCCCCGGGAAGATGTGGCCACGTACACTGCGGAGCTGATTTAAACCCTGCTCGTGGGCGTGGAGCGGGAGTGGGTTCCAGCACAGCGTTTTCCTGTGGCTCGCGATGGCGTGTGGCTGGGCCCACTTCATTACGCTCTGGCCCGGTTCGCTCTGAGTAGCGCTGACTCAGAGCTTAAGGCTGGAGACGCTCTTTCCAAGATCAGCATCCCACATCGGCCTGAGCGATGACTGCACCGTCCGGGGGGACCCACAGCTCCTGCTGGCTTCAGAACCTAACTGCACCACACCCATAGCCTGGCCCCCTGCTATGAACTGGAGTGCTGCCTGGCTTCGTTAGGGAGCAGCTCACTCTTCTGCCAGCGTTTGTCCTTGGGGAGGCGTCCGAACGAGAAGCAAGCACTTCTCAGCTCAGTAGTTTCAAGCCTTATCTGATGCAAGCCTCTGCCTGGGACAGGAGAATCAACTGTGTCTCTCCCTTCTCTCTCTCCAGGGTGGGGATGAACTTGAACCTTGGTAATGAACGCCTTGCATTTCTTTTTTTTTCCCCTGGGAAATCTGTGTATATGTGAGATTATGATGGGGGAAGTGGGGAAACATAGAGTCACGACTGGACACCTAGGGTGCTTGTTCCTTTAGAGCTGAGTTTCTCAACCCTTTTCATCATCACCCCCACCCAAGGAGCATGTTTACACTTCCCCCCAACCCCCATCACCCCTCTCTTATGAAATATTAATACCGCCGATATGTCTGTTCATGTACTGAATGTACACCTGTGCTTTATCCATCAAAATAATAAGATTTTTGCCCCCTTGGGGGCCATGTGGTCCCCACTGAGGATACAGGTTTTTAATAATAGCCCACCCAGGCCCCCCTGCCAGCCTCGCCCGGGAGAGGCAGGAAGAAGGCAGCACAGCAGGTGTGAGCTAGTGCAGGGCTCATAAGGGACAGAGCTGAGCTGGGTGGGGACAGAGCTGAGCTGGGTGGGGACCATGACCCTGACAGCCCACCACGCCCCAGTCACATGTGGCCGCTGCTCCCCAGCTGCAACCACATGGGGCTGACTTCTCATTTCTCAGGAGGAGCCGGGAAGCCGAAGGTTTGGTTCAGTCTGGATGTGTAAGCGTTGTTGGCTCAAACAACCACCAAAGAAAAGAGTCGGAACCGGGACACGGGGCTTGTCCCGAGCTGGCCCCTGAGCTCGCCACGGGGCTGGAGCTTCCGCCCAAGGCTTAGGAATCCACTCTGTGCCTCAGGACCTTCCCCACTGCACTCCTTGTTGGGGGCCGGTCTAAGCTTCTCTCTCCTGCCTGGGGCGGGTGTCCAGGCCGGGGCCATTCCAGACTGGGAGTAAGGGGTGCAGCTCCCCTCTCCACCGGCCACCCCCTTTCCAGAGGGACCTGGATTCTGTCTGCAGAGGAAGAAGGTCGGAGCCCCCAGCCTCACTCGCGGGCACCGGGAGAGCCCCGGGCTGGCGGTGCTGGGGGTGCAGGG